AAACCCAGACCCTGGACCCTGAGACCAGGACAACCCTTCACCCGAAAAATCTTGTCTCGAAACTCCCCAAGCCTTAAACCCTAAAGCCTAAACCCAAAGCCCTAAACCCCAAACCCTAAACCCCAAGCCCGAAGCCCGAAGCCCTAAGCCCTAAACCCTAAACCCTAGTCTTAGCTCCAGTTTACATCCGGATCCCTCATTTAACCCGGAGGCCAAAAAGAGAGCTCAATCCCAACCCCTCGACGCCAAGACAGGGGTCGAAATCAATGCAAAATATGTGTCCCAAGGCTTCCGGGTTTAGGGTTTAGGGGTTAATCAAAATGTGGTAAAATGTACCGCAGAACCCGGTTATAGCCATTAAACTTCTTAAAATTAAGGCCCCTATAGTAAGACCGAGAACCTGAATTGCAATCCCACAGGACTTCGACGTTCTGCAGATTCACACCCGAGCAACTGATTTGGAAGTCTTGCGCAATATGCTGGATGCGGCTTACCGGCCCAAGGTGGTCGTGATCGGAGCACCAGCCTGAGTGGTTAAGTCCCTGGCGGTTTAGGGCTTGGGCCCAACTTGAAACTTCAAGCCAACAAGGTGAGGGACGAAGACGAACTCAAAGTTGTGGCTTGCCAGTAACAACAGTTGAACAGTAGACCTTCTTGCGGGGACTGTCGCTGCGATGATGCAAAATCAGTTGTGAAAACATCTTTTTGAAAGTCTGTGCTTATGCCAAGACCGTATTATGTATGTTTGACCCTGACCATGTATGTGGGTATTCTTCGTTACTGCACGCGTGACAAAAACAGACGTCAAAAGCATCAGTTTCCTGAAAAACGGTTCAGGGATCTCGTTTTGTTAACATCGCCTCGTAACTCCCAATTGCCAATGATCTCTCTTCTAGACCCCAGCCCCCAGCCCCAGCCCCAGCGCCGTTTTGGTCAAAACGTTTCGGTCAAAACGTTAATTGGCACCCAAACCTTTAACAACTACTATTAGCCCTAAAAACCCTAAACCCTAAACCCCTAAACCCTAAACCCCTAAACCCTAAACCCCTAAACCCCTAAACCCTAAACTCCCTAAACCCCTAAACCCCTAAACCCCTGAACCGCTAAACCCTGAAGCTCCCCTAGTTCAGCTTGACGAGGTGCGGCTGGACATGCCCCCGCCCTTTGAGTTCGAAGCGGTGCCCGCAGCCGATGCGGAGCAAGAGTGCACGGAAGCGGAAGGAAAGGTGTTGAGTTTAGGGTTTAGGGCTTAGGGTTCGGGGTTTAGGGTTGAGGGTTTGGGGTTTAGGGACACCCTAAGCCCGAAAGCAGAAACTCATTAGAGAGGCAAGGATAATCACAACTTTCTCGCGACTCCGACTCCTTGGGTTGTTTGGGTTTCTTGTTTTTTTACAAAAGCTTTCCACGTTTTTTGTTGTTTCGGAGATTTCGTGTTGGGGTTTGGGGCTACTGGGTTTAGGGCCTAGGGCTCTGAGTTTAGGGTTCAGGGTTTAGGTATGGGAGTTTGCAGAAAGCTGAAGGAGCATTCGGCGCTTCTCTCGCAAGAGCCTGGGCAGAGTTATCCCGGCGCAGATACTCCTTGGTGGCACTGGAATCTGAGTCAAATTGGACCCTAGACCCTAAACCCAGCTTCCTGCAGCAAGGAACCTAAAGTTTCGGGAAGAAGCTTCAACCCCAAACCCTGTTACCAGTAGAAGGCGAGGGTTTAGGGTTTAGGGTTTAGGGAGGTTGCTTGATGGTTAAACTGCGAAGCGGCTCCTTTGATCAAGCCGTCCACCTTTTTGCCCTAAGCCATTATGCCCTCAACCCGTAGAAGGCCCTTGTTTAAAACCCTCATACTTCGCTCTCTTACGCCTTCCCTAAACCTGGCCCTACACCCTACACCCTAAACCCTAAACCCTAAACCCTAAACCCCCAAACCCTAAACCCTAAACACCCAAAACCAGGGATTAGGGATTCGAGATCCCTGCCGAAGTTGTGTTTTGGCGACCCGAAGGTCCCTTTACCCGGGGGTTCATATGACCAGATTAGGGTTTAGGGTTTAGGGTTTAGAGTTTAGGGTTTAGGGTTTAGAATTTAGGGGTTGAGGGTTTAGAATGTAGGGCGAATTGAGGGACATAATCCTTACCCAACTTCGCATTCTCCGGCAGCCCAAGCTCCATGTTCTGATCCCTACATCCCGAACCTTGATGAAGGTTCAGGTTTTAGGGTTCAAGGATTAAAGACCTAAGCCCTAAACTCCTTTGGAGCAATGACGAAGGAGCCCTCTCCAGCTGTATCATGCGAGGGTCGAAATGAAGGACAGGCGTGGTTCGTGCACAACGAGGCGGGGTTTGGCTTTGTATTTTTTGGCTCTTTTGCTTTGGGTTTAGAGTTTGGGGTTCTGGTTTTGGCTTTGGTTTTGGCTTTAGGGTGTTTTGTCTTATGTGTTGATGTGTGTTGGAAGGAGGGTTAGCGATGCAGGTTGTGAGGTCTGGAGTTTGAACCGGAAGCTTGTTGTGAGGAGCGGGATTCATGTTCCGAGGCTCCCGAACCCTAAATCCTAAACTCTAAACCCGAAGCCCTAAACCCTGTTGAGGGCCTTTAGGACCTACTGAATTCAGGGTTTAGGGTTTCGGGGTTTCAAGTCAAGGCCTTTAGAGCTGTACGGCACCTTACAGGGAAACCCTGAAGAAGGACGACTCGAGTATGGATAGTCGTCAGTTTTTGAGCACACTGCTGATCCTGCAACGAGGCCCTGCAGGTGGCGAAGCCGCTGGTCTCATGGCATGGCATGGTGAGACTGTTCTGGGCGCAGGTGGATATGAAGTGCGCGCACACCCAGCAGCTTTTGGCAGATATTCCTCGGTTGTCGGGCATCCTGGATGGGTTGGCAGGATGGAGCCGTGCGGAGATGTCCTCACAGATTGCGCAGTTGGCATCGCGGCCTTCGGTGCGCGCGTACATCGAAGAGCACCAGGCGCTGCTTACCATGAATACCTAAATCCCCGGAACCTTGAAACCCTAAGCCATCCATCAGCCACAAGTCCTAAACATCCCTAACCCCAGAGTTTTGTGCAAGAGCCGGACCCGCAGAGCCTGAAATTGATGCCAAGAACGTGTTGGTTGATGATAATGGAACAAACTTGTCGGGACCTCCAGAGTGAGGACAGGGGTCCCTTTTCTCCTTGGTCGCCCACAAATCTGTATGCGCCAACTCTGCAGTTCTGCTTCGCTTGCTTTTTCGTGACTGCCTCAACTGAGCACAACAGATGTGTCCGTTAAGGCTGTACGCTGGTTGGCTTCTGACCCATTACGTAAGCCGTCGCCAACATGCAATCTGTGGGGGGGATTAAGGTTCCGTCAGGGGGAATGGTCTGTCATGCCACAGCTTGCGGCTGCATGGCATCAAGAGCAATTGCCGAGAACACGAGCAAACTTTCTAAGCATGGCGCGCCGGTACGGAGCAGAACGGTCTTCTCTCTTCCAGAACCAGCACGAGATGAACACGGGCACGTCCAGTACGGTGTCAGCCATGTAATTTTAGATTCGCAGCTTTTGGCGCACCATTCCGGGTTTTCGCTTTGTTGTTCGGAGACGTGTTCGCAAGGTGGAAAAGGGTTCTTACTAAAACACCCTCAATGCCACACCCGAAACTGTCTTCCGTAAGCCACACACACCCAGAAAACCCTAAACCTTGAGCCTTCAATCCTAAAGACATCAGGCCGGGTTACTCCACCGGTGTCCATGGCAAAAGCTTGTCATGGAAGTGGGCCCTCCGGGCTATGCGTCGAGCCTTCAAACATTCCTGGCCAGAGTGCGACGCGAAGGCCGGGCTAAGTGCCGAGCAGGGATTGGAGTTCAAACCCTAAACCCTAAACCCTCATGGTACGACATGTCACAGGGCGTGTTTAGTACAACATAACTCATGACCCCTGAACCCCAAAGCGTATCGATTTTTTCGGTCATCGGCCATCGCATCCATCCATGTTGCTGTTCCGCATGTGCTCTCCGAAGAAATCGGGGTCATTCCTAAACCCTAAACCCTAAA